GCTAAACTCCTTGAAAAGCTCCTCTTCCTTTTCTCCAAGGTACACGACAAGGCAGCGGATGGCTATAGTTCTCTGCGTACTTCAATTGTATTGTGCTATTTTTGAAAAAGGAAAAAAAGAGAAATGACCTAAATGAATATATTCTGAATGGGTGACTGCCAACAACTTGCATTTCAATGACAACTCTAAATAACTATCCTACCTCAAGAAGCATGTCCTTGATCTGCTTCACCGAGATTCATTTTTAATAAAAAGCGATATCACAATGGTAACCAAAGTATTTGTACTCTCACAGTAGCCTCTACTACTTTGTATCCTCTCACATAACTATTCACAGTTCAAAGGATGCTAATTTTGGTCAAACAGCAATTTGCCTATACAGTGCAACTACAAGGCTATCTACTGTATTTGAATGACTATTTGAAACTATGCGGATCCAACCCGTTTTGTTCTCGTGTAAACGAGGCCTTAACTGTCGGAACTTGCCCAGGCATGTTAAGTGGGAGTGGACTTGAAATCCTTAACTCAAGGTGTAGAACAATTAAGTTATCAAGCCAATTGCATTAGGCCTACTTACTACAACTTGAATTTTGCTTTAAGTCAATTAACGCAGAAATCAGAGTTCAAATTACACACAATATTAAGTTGATGTAATTACCAACATTATTACGTCAACACAACTTATAAATTAATGTTTGCAACTTAAAATGTTTATCTAAATCAATTAACTCACATTTTTATCTTGCAACCATGCATTTAATTAAGTGGAGGTGAAAGGTCGCCTCAACTCGTTTTTAGAGTGTAGCACTGCAGCAGCACAATATTCATTGAGATCTGTTTTGCGCTGTAACCTCTATTCTGTTGATAATGTAGGTCAATTGTTTTGTATTCTTGTGCCTTTAAAATAAACCACACTGAAACAAAAGACACATAGCACTGGTGATAGGGAAGAGCCTTGCTAAAATGACTTCAAAATTTGCACACTAACTGACCCAAGACCATTTCTTAGGTTTGAATACAGATATCAGTTATTTATTACATATACATGTCACATAAAACATGATTTGATCATTATTGAAATTGTGTAGAAATGTGGGTGGGTGTGTTGTGACGAATGACATAGCATCAACCAGTAACGTTAGCGTTAGCTAAACACAATCAGGTTTTGATTCCTCAGTGGATTTAAGCAAAATGAGAGGAAATATTTACAATGTTCAAAAACATTGGAGGGGTCAGTTACTGCGCTATCACAATGTAGCCTCTTAATGTTGAAGAGGAGTTGGCACATGAGCTGTTTTAAGCTAAATGAAAAGATGTTAGCAGGCTATCCACATCACCATGGGATTTACTGTCACAGAGGAACAGCAAGGCTGGTTTAAGTGAGGCCGCTCTTTTGTTCTTACATAGTTATATTACTGGCATCTTGCAGTGATACTTGGGAGATTTGGCTGGGAACATCTACAATAGACATAGGCTGAAGAAACAAAAAGCTCAATGGTTGCCATTAGCTGGTGTGTTTACCACAGTGAGAGGTCCTCATAGAGAGGATGTGGGCTCAGTGAACAGGACGCTGTGCCTCTGTCTGAAACCAAATAGTTCACATAGAAAACCGCAGCACACACAAACACATTTATTTAGTTAGGTAGCAATAAGCTAGGTATTGAATAATCGTTTGAATAAAAGTAAATGATATAAATATTTTTAAGTGTAGAAAGAGCCAGCCTCCTTTAGGAGGTTTGGAAATCTGTCCTCTTTCAGTTTCAGCTTGACCCATTTATTTAAATTTGGATCGCAGATTGTCTTTAACTTTACTTTCCATCATACATCCAATAAATGAAGGGAAATACAAAAACAGCTGGTACTTTGAGTAAGGTTGAATACAAATATATCACGTCTGGCTGTATATTTCACAACAAATCTAACGAAGTTTCCTCTGCCGCCCTCTCTCCAGCATGTGGGGTAGTGCAGGGGTCTGGAGAGGATGAAGGCGAGGGGGACACCGGCTGGATCGAGGGCGCCGCCATCCTACTGTCTGTCGTGTGTGTTGTCCTGGTGACGGCGTTTAATGACTGGTCCAAAGAGAAGCAGTTCCGGGGTCTACAGAGTCGGATCGAACAAGAACAGAGGTTCGCTGTGGTGCGTAAAGGAAATGTCATACAGATCCCGGTGGCTGACATGGTGGTGGGGGACATGGCCCAGGTCAAATACGGTAAGGACTCCATCATGAAGGCTTATTGCAAAAAAGGAGCAGCGTTATATAAATAGTTTTACTGTTAACCCATTTATACCTTTTTTTCTTATTGAATGGTAAATTGTACACCCTTCATTATATCGTTAAAAATGACAAATGCCCATTACAAGCTACAAAAAGCAAAAATGATTAAAATTGCATTTAATTTCGGACCAGCAATGAAAAACTCAAAAGAAGGAAAATATATTTAATATAATATAATAATAATACTTAGTGCTATTAATTTAAAAATGAAACATTTGAACCCTCTTTTTCACCATTAACTTGAAATGGTAAAGCCTGCATTTGTGCGAAATAAATGATATCTCTTTTTCAACAGGAAGTTGTAATGCTCCTGTCTGGACCTTTCTGGCTCTTTAAACAGTTAAAAAATATATTACAATATCACAATGTAACTAAGTTGCATCTTAAAATACACTGTTCCTGCTGGGAGTTTGATGAGAATGTACATACCATGTTGATACAGCCAGCAGGCAATTAGCTTAGCCTAAAGACTGGAAACATCTCAGCTAGCAGCTAGGCAGACCCTTTCCAAACATTAACTTTTCCCAAAGTCACCTCCTGGCCATTGAACCTTCTCATCCAAGTGTGCAGAAAAGGCTATTTACTCACTGTAGGAACTACTTCTGCTACACCTGTACTCAGAGGTGGGAATTAACTAAGTACATTTACTCAAGTACTGTACTTAAGTACAATTTTGAGATACGTGTACTTTACTTGGGTATTTCCTTTTCATATTACTTTATACTTCTACTCCACTACATTTATTTAACAGCTTTATTTACTTTTAACAAAATGCATCCCTCAATATTAAACTAGTGGACAAACATTTTAAGTAAATAAAAGGGTCCAATTATTTGAATATGTTACATATAGTCAATCAGAGCTTTTTGTCTACAACAGTAAAATGTTAGAAATTGCACATATATAAATATCATTATATTCACACATAAAGGTAATTTCTCTGCACAATGATTACTTTGACTTGTTATAGTTTGACTTGTTATACTGTACTTTGAGTCCATTTAGCTGATAACTGATTGAATGAAAAACATTTTGAAAGTAGGACTTTGATTTTTGACGATAATGTATTGGTACTTTAACTCAAGTAATGCATTTGAATACTTCTTCCAGCACTGCCTGTAGTGCCTATCTCTGTATCATGTAGTGGTATGCATAGTGTCCACACAAGATATTGAGACATAAATATCTGCAGGCTGAATCAACTGTGATCTGTGCACGTGTGTGTCCAGGGGACCTGCTGCCAGCTGACGGTGTGTTGGTCCAGGCCAACGATCTGAAGATAGATGAGAGCTCTCTGACCGGAGAGTCTGACCACGTAAGCAAGTCAGTGGACAAGGACCCCATGCTGCTCTCAGGTTTGTGTTTACTCATAACGTTTTTTTATATTTGCACTCCAACCTGGTAGGCCTACTACTTAGAGGAAATCAAATGGTATCCATGTTGTTCTGTATCGTTATAGATACATTTCAGTGGACACTATAACTGAAGACCTAAATATTCTTAATGGTCCGATTTATATAAAACCTGTCTCTGAAGTGTTTGGCTGAAACACCAAACAGATAATTGTAGCATCCCATAATCCCCTCTGTTTCAGCCCTGTTCCAAAAGGGCTGATTCTGTGTCTGTAGCAAGCGGCAAACTCTGGGGAAGAGCCGGGAAGCCAATACACAAGTGNGATTTGGGTACGGAGGAAAAGAGAGAGGGTTTTATTTTCTGACGCTTTGTTTCAATGTTTCAATGCTTTTACTACACTGTAGCTACGCACACATGACAATAAAAGCATTGAAACATTGAAACAAAGCGTCAGAAAATAAAACCCTCTCTCTTTTCCTCCGTACCCAAATCTCTAAAAACGGGGAACAACGGAGCTGATCCAGATTTGCGTCCGATATGACGTAATATCTGAAATGTGGACCCACGGCCCTATCAGAAAGTTGCTATCAGAAACAATGCCCGACTGTTTTGGACGTAATATGGTCGGTGTTTACATTAGCATTGCTAACACTCAGAGCTAACCTGTACTGGAGAGCATGTGTGTGAAGAAGCAGGAAGTAAAAAGGAACTCACTTTGTGGTATAACCGGCAAGAGAGAAAGCCTTTGAGCTCCATACTGTTTCAGAGAGAATCCCCTTTTTTAAAAAGGAGATCTTTAAGAAACTAAACGGAGGTTCAGTTTGGAGACGAGACAGATTGGTGTTGTCTAACTGAGTAACTCCACTCTGAGGTTCAGCGCACCAATTTACCAAAAACAACATGATTTATTTGAACTATTGTGGGATGTCCATGCAGACCGTGTTGCCTTTGCAATTTCTACTCAACCACAGTACTAAGAAATGTGTAAAACGTAATAAATATATTCATGAACAGTCTCTCTGTCCAGACACAGAATCCCTGTTAAGAAAACTGAACACAGTCTCGATTTAGTTTTTCTAATTGCATTTAAAATTAATACAAAACTCAACACAAACTAAACAAAGCCCCAACATTAGATAAGCAGCAGTATTACTCCCATACCATAACAATTGAGTCTTCTGAGAGCCCTTCCAATAAAAACGATTCAGTTTTTAAGTTATCAGCAAGCTATAGCTGAACAAATTGACAAAAAAAAAACATCCAACGGTCAAATTAAGGCAAATAAAAATAACTTTTCGTATGTAGAAACCCTATTTTATATGAATATTTCCTCTATTATTGAGCTGTTTTTGATTTAGAAAAGTCCTGATTCCTTTTAATAACATGTCATGTGACTCTGTTAAACCAATGCAGCATTGTATTTCTACATTGGATACACCTGTCTTTATTAGATTCCTATTTAAAAGGAATATTTTAATGAACATTCAGAGGTTTTTTTTCCAATAGTTTCCATGTCATGTATTTACTAAACTGGACAAGTAGGGCTTCTTTTGATTGGATTCTTCTTTCCTGTGACAGAAACACATGAGCAGCATCTTTCATAAAAGTCACATGTTCTACAAATACTGCAGCATGTCAGAGAGACGCAGCTCCAACAGACACAGTAAAAACTCTTGAGTTTAACACGCAGGAAAGCAGGAGGCGCTTCATGTCTTGTAGTGATTATCCATGTTGGCCAAGAGCGATGTTTGATAGTTTACAGAAGGAGAGAGAGAGAGTGTGTGTGTGTGTGTGTGTGTGTGTGTGTGTGTGTGTGTGTGTGTGTGTGTGTTTCACCATGAGTTTGGTTTCATGGGAAAACTGTCCTAACAGTACACAGGCACTTACATCTCAATGACAGTAACTGCAGTGAGACGAAATGTGAAATTCCCCCTTAAAAAACCATCTGTCTGGAGGTCTGTGGTTAACACTGAAAAGATGTTAGCGCTTTGTTCTACGACATACAACACGTCAGTAAACACCCCAATGCTGAATACAAAAACGGAGGTTTCTAACAAGTGTCTGAATGAGACGACTAAGAGTCATCAAGCCCAACATTAGCCACCTTTAGCTTAGCGGTGGTGAAGTGTTTGGAGCCTTTATTTAACCAGGTGAAGCCCCTTGAGATCATTGATCTCTTTCTCAGGGTGACCTGCAGGACATTAGTTACACATGTAACATACAAACAACAGAACAACAATAAGGATTACATACAACATAATGTACAGTGTACAGTTTACAAACTCTATTCACAGTGACAGGTACCATGAGTATCACACAGCATGTCACCCAGCCCAGTTTCAAAATGATGCAGGGGAACCAAAGTGCTCAGTTTGAAACGTGTTTGCAGACTGTTCCAAGTTAGTGGAGCTGCACAACTAAAAGCTTTCTTCCCTAAGACAGTCCTAGCACTTGGGACATTTAATAAAACAACATCATGAGATCTCAGGCTTTAAGTACTTTCAATTCGTGGAGAGATCAGAGAGCAGATATAAAAAGGTAGTCATGTGAAGTCATGTGACCGTGGAGCAGTGACGTGCGGTGAGGTTCATGGCTGGTGAGGCACTGACTCTTTCAGTCAGATTTACAAATATTATATTTTGACCTTAATCGAAATATTCTGCTATTTTCAAAAGCTTTTTTAGTCTGATGCTTCGATTCATTTGAAACAGACCGTTCAACAAAAGGATACCCAACATCTAAATATTGTTCTTTCTTAGTAAGATCCCATTTTCATTACAATGGTGGTCTTACCTTGACTTGAAGATGAAGTCCATGCTCTCCTTCTGGACAACAATCTCTATTAGTTTTGTGTAGTTCATTGCCGTTGTATGATGAGACCAGCGAGCCTAAATATCATATATACGTTAAATAAGTTATTTAGAGACTATGGATGGCGAGGATAAATGTAATTAAGGGATCTACAAACATTACATTGGTGACCTACAGTGAGATGGTAACAGGCATGCGCTTAGGCCCCGCTTTCCAGCCAGTTTCTGTGGGGTGACGCATTCTGAGGTGAGGCAGAGCTCATCTGTGCCTCNCCCCCACTTTCGATTTCCTTATATTGTTTTGTCTCTCTTTAGGTCACTTGGTCTGTACCACCCCCCCTCACCCCCCACCCCCCCGCACCCCACCCCCACACCCCCCCCCCCAGCCCCACACAAACCAAAGCTGTCATTTCTTCCTCCACAAACTTGTGAAAATTTCATCACTTTCACAGACACAATAACACCCAGAGTAAGTTCTCTTTGCGTCTGTTCGCATCTCCTGTGCGTGTCAGTAGTACCTCGAGACTAAGGCAGGGCAGTTTGTACAATCCAACCTGAGGTTTATCGTCTATGACCACTAACCGTCTTCAGATTAAAAACTTATTCCTAAGTTTTGTTCATCTTTTTTTACGTTTCTTTTTGTTTTTTGGATGTCTTTACAGTTTCCATCGTGGTGTCTTAGGTGTGTAACGACAAGTACAGATTGACATAACCCTAATAGAAATTATACTTAGGTAAAATAGATCTACTACAGAGGCGAGTAAAGTTTTCGTTTTTTTTGGAGGGTGTTTATACTCTAAAAGGTAAGTTGCACTGAGTAAAGACGCAATACGTTGATACCCTCCAAGTTGACACACTCTGTTGGTGACGTAAATAAAGAGCGACATCTGTTTTTCCCGAATAAGAATTGGGACTCGGACAAAACAGTCCAGAGGTCCTAGCTTTTATTGGACCGGGTCTTGTTTACTTGGTGTTGAAGTGAAGATTTTCCATTTATTATTAGAAAAAAGAGTTTCTCCTATTTGGCACTCAACCTCATTTAGTCAGGTTTAGTTATATCTACAAAAAATCAATTTTCGTTGGAGTCTACTTGTACATTTTTTTTCCATTTAATATCGTAGGCAGGTTTTTTTGTAATGAATATGCACTGTTAGATTGGACCTACTACCCAATCATTTCTGTTTTTCGGAATCCTTTAGATTTGATATTGTATAGTATTCATGGGATATATTTCTACCTACGTTTTGTTGCACTTTAACTGGAAAAATTCTCCCAAATCTTTTTTTTTCGTGAGACCCCAGTAAACCCTCGTAAAAGGTATTAGAGACCTTGGGTAGCCAGTTAAACACACTAACTGTAGAGGAAACTTGGCAATCTCGGTTTATCTTAGCTCCCCTACAAGGATTTAGGGTAGATTTGTAATGGTGTAACCACTTCTCCAGACGCGTCTGGTCTACGGGGCCCTTGGCCTTCGACACCGATAGTAATCGTCGTTATTACTTTAGAGGCAAACTGTATTTATCTTTACCTATGTCATTAGTAAAGTTTCACTGTGTCTGTTTGTCAAACAACACTACGGTATCACTACAATTGAGAACTGAAAAAAGACAGACCCTCGAGACCCCAAAGGGAGAGAAGTGGCGCCCCAGGCTCCCAGGGTTCACTGCCTTGCCGCCAAAGCTGTGCCCCGCGTGCAGGCCTCAGGAGGTCCGACAGGCAGGTTGAGACTCCGCCCTGTGTAGTCAGTCGCCCGTCTCTCCCCCTTTAACACTCATGTTATGATCAATTACATGAATTCATGTACAAACGTCCATAGTCCTGAAGTGAGGTGACGATAAAAAGAAAAAAGACTCTGCTGAAAATGAAACTGAGATGTACAATTGAGTTTATGGACCATGAAAGATGAGAATGTACAACTTGTGTTTATGGACTTGAAGTGAAGAATGGACACTTGTGTTTATGGATGAAAGATGAAGAATGTACACTTGTGTTTATGGACATGAAGATGAAGGATGTACACTTGTGTTATGGACATGAAGATGAGAGAATGTACACTTGTGTTTATGGAATGAAAGTGGAAAGAATCGTACAACTTGAGTTTTGACTGAAAGATGAAGATGGTACAACTTGTGTTTATGGACATGAAAGAATTGAAGGAATGAACAACTTGTGTTCATGACATGAGATGAAGGAATGAACACTGTGTTTTATGGCATGAAAGGGATGAAGAATGAACCACTTGTGTTTAGACATGCAAGATGAAGAGTGTACAATTGTCGTTTTTGGACATGAAAGATGGAGAGTAAAAGGTTTGTCCAGACCAAGGAAATCAAATTACACACCAAACCACCGCACTAGTAATAATAAATCTCAGTAACGCACGGATAACTAAACTTGTGCTAGGCCATAGGTAGGTAAAGGACCAGAAGAGATTTCTTCTCCTTGGTTACTTTACAACAGTACAACGGACAACAGTCGTACCTTTGTCAAGTAATCGATTGTTAATAATCAGATAATTATTTCCCTCCAGTCCACATCACCACGTATGTATTTTCATTTTGTTTGTTAATTCTTTCTGCCATCTTTTATAAAAGCTTTTTTGTATTATGTATGTTTATAATTCATTTTATATATTATTCGTCATACGATGTACTAGATATCTCTATAACTTTGATAGTCCTATTGAAATTATAATGTTAGTAAAGTTGTTTCTTCAATTATTTTGTCGACCTTCTATACACATATCAATTGCCGGGGTAATTACTTCTTCGTCTAACAGTTTCCTTACTCTGAATTTACAAACACCTTTTGCACGAATCCCAGTTGTTCACACGTGTAGTCCGCCGTCGTATACTCTGGTACCGCCTTGCTTAGGAGTTTCACTCTTTATTTCCGTTGCTGATGTAACCCACAACGAAGGTACAACGTTCCGACGTACGTGTACTCTCATATTCAGCTTGTAAGTAGTAAAGATCATTACAGTTCCGATCTTTTTGACCGTTTTGTTCAATTTATTTTAACCACGTAATTTGTGTTAGTGACGGTTTTAGCCCAATCACCCACAAAGAGTTACAACTCCTGCCGAACGAACCATCGTGTACAGAGGCTCAGTGAACGAAGTCTTCGCTCCGTTCTTAGGAAGGGGACCGTTAAGCCTTTGCTTCTCACTTGTCCGCTTCGTTCACACACATTATACTCTCCGGGGGCGGCAATGTTAAAGCGGGTGGCTAACCCCTTTAACCAGGCACACGTTTCGTAACACCCCTAAAATTCAGGCGCCTCAGTTGTGTAACGTCGGAGTTGGTTAAAGAGGTTGTTCATGCGGCACCGGGAGCGATCTTTAATGTTCATACGCCTGTAACCTTGTCAGGAAGCCGCCGTGAGCTTACTTGCATCATTACGAACTTTTCACGAGACCTCGTCGAAATTGGCTCTAACTCTTTGTGGGTGACAGAGTTTTACATTTTCATCGGGAGTAATCTCGAGTTTAACTTACTTTCGTCGACGAATTATTCGATTCATTGTGGTTCACTTGGGTGACTTACATTTCGGTACCTGTTGGTAGTGCGTATTTCTTGAAGGAAACGAACGACGCAATATTAGTAATCTTATTAATAAATATAGCGACCTGACATTGACGTCGACGAAAATGGGAGCAGACAGACGAAAGTTTGTTGTGTTTTAAATGGGAAGATCAAACATAGTCAAAGTCGTCTTTATGTTGAGTCATTACTCCTGAAGGTCTTTTCCCGGGAAGTGAAAAACACACACAAGACTTACAACTCACTCCTTGGTTTCAAACGCAATCAATGATGTAAATATGTGAGGAATGTGGGACACACACACACACACACACACACACACACACACACACACACACACACACACACACACACACACACACACACACAGAGACACACACACACACACACACCGTAAAACCCTCTGTTGATTTCCTCCTAATTGAAGCCACTATGAGACAAGAACTGAATGTTCCCAATTTAGAATTTTAAAGGGAACATAAACAACTAGCTAGCTAAATATCTACTTGTATATGTTCCCTATAGTTATACACAACAACAGCTATTGTTGTTTATTTGTATGATTTCTGGATATCTCAAGGAAGAGACTGGAGGCAGAAGCTTGTGATTTCCGGCATTTACTTAAAACAAAGGCATCAGACATTAGAGTTAGATAACTATAAATGTTCCCTATAGTTATATGTTCCCGATATACAATTATGTAGGGAACATATACAGCAATCTAGTTAAATAGATAGCGGTATATGTTCCCTATAGTTACTGTATATGTTCCATATTTACGACCTGGCTCAAAAGGCCACAACAAAAAGGAGACACAACATGTCAACGGGTAGAAAAAGGTGTTTATTTGCACAAACAATCCAAATTAAGTACGGTGTATACTCATCAGAGCCGGGTGCCTGTAGGAGAAAACAGAGAGGAGCAGAGAGGCTCTAAACAGCTGCAGGACACCAGACCCAGGTGCCCTGATTCACTGCAATCAATGCAATCACTGGAGCCCATGCAGCACAGACAGAACAGCCACACCCTCTCTACTGATGAACCCACAGGGGCATCACAAGAACATACAGTTAGCTAGTTTGATAGCTAGCCGCATATGTTCCCTATAGTTATGTTATATATATCATTATGTAGGGAACAGCTATCTACTGAGATAGATAGCTGTAAATGTGCACAACATAATTGTATATGTTCCTTAAATATATATATACAATTATGTATATGTTCCCTATAGTTACTGTATGTAGGAACTATAGGGAACATATACAGCTAGCTAGCTACATGTTACATGTTCCCTAGATATAATGATATAGGGAACATATATAGTTCTCCATTTAGGTAACTATATGTGTTCTCTATAGTTATATTTTTTCTATATATAATTATTTAGGGAAAGTATACACCTAGCTATCTAACTAGCTAGCTAACGTCAGCTATCCAGCCTGCTACTAGCTAGTTAGCTTATATGTTCCCTCTATTATTCATTGTCTTACAACACTGCTAGCACTAAATTATAATGATTAACACAACACTGGGGCCATTTTCGTGTCACTCCCTTTGTCTCCCGCCTTTCAAAACTGTCACTTAAATAAAGGCACCAAAAAACCTTTTTAAAAAGCCCCGAGCAAAGCCTCATCAGGTGAATTTAAGCCGTTACGCTGCAGATCTTAAGGGGAAGGAGGAAGCTGCCATTAATGACAGAAGAGTAGAAGAAGAAGAGTTTCCACAGCGCCGCCCAGCTGCTCACCTTCAGGGCGTCATCTCCACATTCCTCTGGGAGGGAATATCAGATCCAGCTCTTTTATTGGTGCTTAAAGAGCAGCTTCTATCTGTTCTACCTCTAAGCAAACAAACACATGCTGCTGGCTTCATGCAGCTGGGGAGGGAAGGCTTTATGGGTCCCTCTAATGAGTGGAAAGCCTCAGGACGCTTCATGGAACCCCTCATGTGCTCAGGATCTCTGCACAGACATACTGTATGTATATCCCAACTTTCTCCATGCAGAGTTTTTCATTAGTTTGACCCGTTTCTAAGATACCTTCCCTGCTTCTGGATAATCCACTGAGCATGCTGTGAAGAGGTTTCACTGGAACTACTGCGAGGTCTTCTGTGATCTTTATCATTACTATAACAGTCGTTT